AGCTGGACACTTTCCCGCGGTTTTCTGTGGAAACCCAAAGTATCTAAATTTAGATTTCTGATTCCACTCTGAGGACCAGTTACCTTGGAGACAGTGTTCAGTTTGGAGCCACTATAATATTTTCTTTACTCTGGCCTTTTGTTCATGCTGAACTTTTTATGAGAGAAGTAGATGGTTTAAAACATACATCTAAACTTTCAGGGTTGAAGTTTAAGTTATGACGAGACTAGTTCTTTGAATTACTGTATTTGGCAGCTATGGAGAAAATGTGTATGTGTGTGTGTATAGATATATATGCAATATCTATATGATCCAGGCAAAAATTAATTAAAATACTTTAAAGACAAAAAGACCATTCCTTCTTAGGCCTATGTAAAACAAAATGGGAGCACAACTTGCCAATGACAGTTGAGAGTGTGTAACATTCTATGGAATTTAACATAACCTGGAAGGAATGCCATCTTGAAAAAAATAGTGAAACATATAAATCATAAAGAAGACCAGTTTACACCTTCAGCAGGGTTTCTATAATATCTGATTAACATGGCTACAGATGGAAGCCTCTGTGTCTGCACACATATATACAAAAATATGTACTTGTAAATATATTGTCCCTCTGTGCCCACTTTTAAATACCATAGCATTTGACTGCAAATATATATATTTTATTCATAACAATAATCTTTATCTTTAAAGAAATCAATGAGTCAGCTTGATTAAAGAAGATATGGAAATGTAATACATTCCACACACTAAAAGAAGATTAATGAACTGCTGAGGAGCTCCCTTCTGTTCTCCCCAGTGTATGTGTAGCTGCCACGTCAGGGAACAGGAGCTCACTTATTTTCAGATACAGTAAATAGCTCTCAGGCTTTTCAAATAAAGTTGTACTCTGCCTCGTATGCAGGCCAGAGCCTATATATTGAATAAATCATCAAAAGTGTATTCCAGTTCTTTTAAAGAGAGCAGGGTAGTGCTCTCTATTTTTTATTGATTGCATTTGCAGAGGAAAATTGAATCCATTCCTTGTCAAGGCCCCTAAACCTCATGTCATAAAGAATAGGGAAAAAAGAAAAAGATGGATGGAGTTCAGTGGAATTAGCCAGAAAGACAGATGTTTCCTATTGTGTGACGATAAATTTTATTTTTTCATCTTGTCCATATCAAGTGAGAGGTAGCAGCTGAAGTACTTTGAAGTAGTAATCTTCAAAGAGTTCTTTTAGCAGAACTGGAAATAAGCTTATTGGAGAGTTATCTCCAACTAGATTTTCTGCCAATTATCAGTCAAAAGCTCTTTCCTGCAAGGAAGTTAACTCAAAAGGAAAGGCGAGTGTTTCCAGGATATACAGCATCTCAGTAGCTGTGGCTATGACACCTCTAAACATTTTATTTTGGTAAAATGCCTTTTTTTTTTTTTTTAGTAACAGAACAGTGAATTAAATTCTCACTATATTCAGGAAGTCAGTATAAATCCATGTATCTCAAATTAGGGTATTTTGACGGGTGACCATGGTCTCTGCTACGAGCTAGTGAAAGTAGCACTGCATTGATTTTAATGTGCAAATTAAGAATCATGATATTTTAGTATGAATTATTTGAAGAATAGTTTTGTTGCTGTTTATGAGCATTTTTGTTTGCTCTTCTTTGGTTGGCAAGTTTCAAATCCGTTGCTGTAGGCTTTAAACCAGAATCGAGGGGTATGAGTTTGAAATTGCCTATTACCAGAGGTATTGCATTCAAAAAAAAAAAAAAAAAAAAAAAAAGTAGGGGACTTGATTTACAGCTTGTCTTTTGAAGTCCAGGATGTATTCTTTAGCAGAATCAAAAGAGCAATATAAGTTATGGAAAAACAGTTAGAGAAACAAGTGATTAAGGCTAAAATTTCCAGCACCCTTTTCCTTATTTACAGATTACTGGATTACTTAACAGAAGCGTGGGTGCATTCTATATCAAGTTTACTTGCAGATAGAATGAAAAATATTTATTTTTTTTAATTCCAACTTCATTTGTTGATTTGTGTTTTTCTTCCCCTTGCTACAAGTTTGTGGATTTTTTACAATGTTCTGTTTGTCTCTGGGAGAAAGTTATAGAGGAGGAGGAGGAGAAGAAGGAAGGGGAAAATGGGACGTAAATAAGATCATAAAGCTCTTGACGCTGACTATAAAATATCACTTCTCCAGAAATATTACAAATAAGATCTAGTAAGCTATATTCCTTGCTTTATAGCCTAATCTCAACAAGTCTAATAAAATGCTGAGATTATCAATTCTGATATATCCATTTAATACTTCAGTACTTAGTTATTTTACTATTTGTAGATTGTCTCCTTAGTTTCTCCTTTTTTTATATATGCATGTATTTTATATATTTATATATATGTGACTGTGTATGTGCAGAGGTGTGTTTAAACAAATAGGTTCATATATATATATATACATATAAGTGCAATACATATTTGGGTGATGTTACACAGACACTTCTAGCAACAGTATTTGTAATGTATAAATAAGATGCTTGATATATCTTAGTTGAATATAGATAATTCATTAGTAAGCTTATGATCTGAAGGAAATCCACTCTTTAGAAATATTGTACCCCTATTCATATGTGAAGAGTTTTTTCATGGGGTGCATAGTCACCAATTCAGAAAAGCATTTATGAGCATGATTAGCTTAAAAATATTTTTTTCCTGATTAAATATTTTCTGAGTAGAGGTATCAGTGGTCTGATGACGGTGGTAAAGTCACTCACAGATTTGGAGGTAGAGGCTGCAGTAATTTTAAGTCAGGTCACAAGGCCAAAGAAATGCATTATTTTATATTGTTATGGGGCTTGGGAGTTCATAGAGGACCCTGAAACCTAAATGCTTTGTCAGCTGGCAAAGAGATAAAAATTAGTCTCCCATGTGCCTTAAGTGGTATAATCCCCAGTGCTCTAAATGCCTCCATGAATGACTGGCATAGTGTTCCACTGGGTCAGGTTCTCTGTTCATCAGGTGAGGAAACAGTAACATGAAAAAACCCAAAATGAAGCTGTAAGGAAATTCTTGTCTAAGTAAATGGCAGAGCTTCTAATGATTTCTCGGAGCCACTTCGGGAAGTAAGATTTGACACAAAGTTAAGTTTAGAAAGTCTGTGCATAATGCTTAACTTCACAGTAGGTCAAACAGGATCTAAAAGAGATAATTGAACAGAAACCATTTAAAAATTATAATTAGCTTCTCATGGTGCTTCAGGGAATTATTCCTCTTTCTTAAGTAAACATACATATATATTCATAAGTATGTACTTGACAAAGAGACAGGTATATAGTACAAGCTTATTGCTTACAGGGAATCTTAAGAGTTGGAAATTTAATATGATATTTCTATTAAAAAGTTATATCTTGAGAGAGTAGTATTATCTTAAAACTACTTTGAAAAAAACAGATAAACCTTTCTGCAAAACACATGGAGTAGCAATTTTCTCCTTAACCTTTAAAAACAAGCCTATAAAATTCAATGTTGTGATCTCATTTCTCTAGTAGCTGTTAACAACCTCACTTTGGAAATGGGCTGTCAAATGTTAACTTTCAACTTGTCCTTATTTTTATTGGGTTTCTCTTTTCACAGTAGCAGAGGGCTAGAATGCAGACTTACATAGAAAATTTTGTACTGTGATGCTACTCAGGTGCTTTAAAAGCGAACTGGGTTTATTTCAGCTTAACTTTCCCATTTGCAAGAGAAGTTTCATTTTCTTTCCTGTGTGCAATACCACCGTGTAAGCAGGATCTGTATTACAGAGTTAACTTTTGTAGGATTTATACCTACATCTTTGGATGTTTTCAAATATTTTTATCCCTCTAGTTCCTTTTCCACTCTTGGCTTGCTAATCTAGGTGTTTCCGTTTTAGAAACATTACTTAAAATGCTATTAGGCACCACAAAGGAAGAATTAGTGACCAAAACAACAAAAAGCCCTTGCCTTTTCTAATTAAATGAATACTTGCTATTGCCTAACATTATTAAGATTTTTTTTTTTGGGGGGTGGAAATTAATGAGATATTTGCAGCTAATTAAATGAGGTGAAAAGCATGATTTATCATAAATTATAAAGTATTCTGTATCACAATAAAATTTCATTGACTACTGACTATAGGTAATTGACTATTACTGTAGCAGTGTTCATTCAATTTTAGAATAAGTAACATTTCTTTTTTTCAAAAAAACCCCATAGAACTTATTAATATCTAATATGTTTGATTGATTATATAATGTATTTGATTGATTAAAACAAGAATTGGTACAGGACAACTTTGTGAATGTAAGTTTCTGTTTAACTGGCCACACAGTGTTTAGCTGAAGTGAGAATTTCCTGGTATTTTAAGTTCATTTTGGAACTGACCCAACTCGTAAATGTTCACATTGCTGATCCTTCTGCAAGTGATCACATCTATGAACATTAAGATCTTGTTAGTGTGTGATAATGGGTACCATTGTGCCTGCAGTCCCACTTTAATATTACAATTCAAATAACTCATCATTGTCTTTTTCACATATAATCCTCTTACAGCATCCATTTGGAAAGTGACATCTTTGTTACCTTTATAAGAGGTATATACCTACTTTTGTTGACGTCATTCTAGTTGTTCTTATTGCAGTGTGTTGTAATTATTAAACACCAAGTTTATGCTTGCTTTTATTTTTCTATAACTGGAAAGTGCAACTAGAGTGATATCTCAGAAACAAAGTATTTGTAGAAGATACTGGCTATGCAAATAAGCCCACAGTCATTGCCTACAAATAATGCAATGGGAAGAAGAGAGCATGAGAAACATAAAAAAATTTCCCAAGGAACAGGAGTATGTTTCTTTAAATTTACTTTCTGAATTAGTTAAATTGAATGTTACTACTTTCTGCAGTAGTTCAGATTGCTTTTTGTAGTCATCATTGCTTGTGTTAGGATGTAACTCTGTGTGTTAGGATGTAACTTTGTAATACCAAATGTGTTTTGTCTTTGACAGCAACTATAGTGTTAAATGAACTCAACTGGACTGCAGCGTTGGATGATGTATTCAAGCGGAACAGAGAAGAAGACCCCACTTTATTATGGCAGGTTTTTGGTAGTGCAACTGGCCTCGCTAGGTATTACCCAGGTAACCAAAGTCTCCTAAAGAGCTGGCCTATGCCACATATTGCCTTAAAAATGTGAAAACTAAAAATTACTTTCATACATAGATGCAGTTTATGTATATCTGAAGTATCTCAAGGACTGTGAAATTATTCTGTCATAAAGCTGGTATGAGGGGGAGGAAACTGGGGGTGAAATATGTAACTAGTATTTTTTACAGTAAGAGGAACAGAAGATGATGTCCTTTGAAAAGCTGTAGAGTTAGAGTTTATTTTTATATTATTTTTTATGTGTTGTGTAAATAATCAGTTGAATATTCACCAGTGAGATTTTTTTACCTGTCTAGTTCTAAAAATAGTGACTGAATAACTAGACAGAAAATCTCATGGTTAAAGTCAGTGAAAATATGATTGCACCATGCTATGTTTATGTCCTGCAGAATCCACGATCTCTGACAATTATGTCTTTGCTATTAGAGCTAGAGTCAATGAATTCAACTTGATTATTTCAACCAGCACCTGTTCCACCTGTCAAAGAATCCCATTACTAGATCACTCTAATTTAAATAGATGTATATTTTATTGAATTTAGATCGTCAGTTACCTTAATTTGATTTTTGCTGCATACTAGCTAATGGAAAGGCTCGTTTTATAGCAAGGCACACTGCCTGTGCTGCTGCTGTTCTTGTTAAGTGATGCTGTTATCAATGACAGAATAATGTGTCCACTACACGCAAGACAATTGTGTGCAGTGTCATGTCTTTTGCCTACAACCGGCTGGGGAAGAACTTTTGAGATCCTTTATCTTCTGTTTATACAAGCCTGTGTTTCTGAGGGTGAAGGGGATTATTCTAAAGCTGTTACTGTATCATTAGCACAGTTGCTAGCACAGGCAGAGAAACTGCCTTAGGCTATTTTACAGGAAGAATATTTCATAGCACTTGAATCCTGTTTGTTTTGTCATGCTAGATGCTCATGAAATAAATGCAGTGAGATGTTGCAGAAAAAATAATATTGAAAATGCTAATTTAATATTTCTTTTATTTCCAGTTGTTCTGTTTCAGTGCTTTTCAGATGTATTAGAGGTGTGTTAGGGGTCACCATTTGTCACTGCTTAATATATAGTGATGTTTTCCATGTGCTGAAAAAGAAGTGTTTCTTAAATGCATCCGTGTGTCAATCTCTAGGAAATTCATTTTCAAGTGTAAGATTATCGCATGTATTGAAAAATATATTCTTACGTCTAGCTAACCTGTTTACTCCTACTGTTTACCAACACGACACAGAAGCCTCAGAATCTCTATGTATTCTTCCTCAGAGTACCTCTATAAAATGGGAGAAGCTCGTTTTCCCTATTTTGCAAGTGGATATCTTGCTTGTATATACTCCATCTAAATGCAAATTTAAAGATCCTCACACCTGCTTACTCTGTTGATAAGTGTCTATGTCCTTATTAGCTGTCTAGTCCTGTCAGAAATTAACTTCATAAATTTCTGAGTAACTCCCCAATTCTTAAAATCTGCACACACAGATTAAGCTAGAGCAGTCTGACAGTCCTGAAATTGTATGTGCATTTTTCTGTGAGTCTTCTCCTTCCCGCTTCCTTCCATTTATAGCTCAAATTGTAAGCTCTTTGGGTTCTAGATTTTTGGAATATGTCTTTGTGCAAGGTTGTCCATCTTTCTCTTTTTGTAAACTCTTTGTCTCAGTTTCCTGACGCACACAAATGTTCTGAAAATGAAATCAAGTTTCATATACTGGAATGGATGTTTTTCACATTTGCTTTTTTGAAGTGATATTATAAATTGTAAAACAGTGCTTCATTATATTGGCCTTAGGGAAGCATGATTCAAAGTGATTAATTTCTTCATAGTATTGATGTTTGTGAAATAATTTGGAAGTATCAAACCTAAAATTAACATACATAGATAAGTCTGCTCATTATTATCTGAAATATATCCACTCAGTCTTTCCTCCCTTAAAAAAAAAAAATAAAAAATTGGTCTTTGGTACCTCTAGCTGTAGAGAGTGACTTCAATCACAGGTTTCTTGAACTAATGTTTTTATCTGATAGTATGGCACTGCCTTGAATAATGGGCTAGATGGTACATCACTCGTGTCCTAAGTAGGCTCTTGGGCTGTTCTTGTCACCATAGTAACCAGCAGCATGAAAGGATCTTTTTATGAGTGACCCTACGGGTGGAGAGTATATGTGAAATATAAAGTTATTTTTCTATTACATATATCCCATTGTTTCCTAAATATATTCTATTTTTGGTACTGTTGTACAATGCTTTAGCATCACATACATGATTTCATATAATTTTCAGCTGTGCTTTGTCTGATGCTTTGGTACATTTGTGTTCTCTTGTCTCTATCAAGAGGACAAGACAGCTTCGTTCCTTCTCAACCTAGGTTGAGATGCATGGCAGTTCCTTTCCTCAGACCTTCTTCTTTATATATGATAATAAATGGTATTAGGCTTAGATACAATAGTAATTAGATGCAGTATAATAAGAATAGGAAACTATTTTACAAAAATAATTAACAGCATCAGGTAGAGGAAGTAATGGTGCCAAAGTACTCGCTTCCTTTAATATTATGACTTAATTAGTCCATCAATGTTTCTTATGAAAAATGTCATTTTACTGAGGAGAAAAGCACATTGTATGTGCTGTTACATTTGATTTTGTTTTGAAGTAGAAGAAAATATTTAATCAAGGCAAGCCAGATTTAGGAAGATATTTGTGTAGATGGATAGGTACAGATGTGCAATAAAGATAAGTATTAGAAATACACACATGAACACATATATATGTTGATATTTGCAGTGATGGCAGAACAAGTGCCAGGGATAAAAAGGAACTTCCTATATTTACCTTTCAAGATGCCCCAATAGAAACATTAGAGACTGCATTGAGGTCAACTTCAGTCTTTATAGATTAGCACATAGCTTCCTTTTTTTTATTAACTATTTTTCCCTAGAATATGTTCAGTTCAGATCCCATTCTCAAACATCAAGACAGAAATGGCATAGAAGAGCCAAAGATGCAGAATATTTCCATGGGCTTCAAATCTTTTTTTTTTTCTTCCACCTCTTTTGGTTAGAGTTTTAATCAGCTTGAGTTTTATTCAGTTTCCTCATACAGAACTTTTTCTTCTTTAAATTATTTAAGAAAGTGTGTCTTGCCTAAAATAATTCTAAAGATTAGTGAGGGTATTTAGTATCAACATTTTCATTAGTTCCAATGGCAGTATATCTGTAAAGAGAAATGCTAGGCTCTATTACTGTGCTGGCAACCATTCATTCTGATATGAAGGTGCCAAGAGTAATTTTAAGATTTTTATTAGCTATTCTATGAGCTCTGAACAACTCAAGAGTAAGTAAACAGTAGTTTAATAAAAGAGTTCAGAAGAATAAACAAATAAAGTGAATAGAACTTTTAGGAAGGATGTAATATATAGTTATTCTTACATTTAAAGTTACATATATCACAAATTAGTCTTTCTTTAAAGAGATGGTTTCAGCATTGTAAGAATGCATTTGCCTTTTTACATACATTTATGGAGTTGTATCAGAACCAAGACAGGAATCTCTATCTTCAGGTGATGAAGATACCTGATAAAATTCCCAATTTAAAAGGGAAGTGTACAGGAGGTGGAAGCAAGCACAGATGACCTGGGAGGAATACAGAGACACTGTCCAAGCATGTAGAAACAGAGTTAGAAAAGTCTAAGCCCACTTGGAGCTGAATCTGTTGAGGGATATGAAGGACACCAATAAGAGCTTTTACAGGAACATCAGCAGCAAAAGAAAAACTGAGGAAAACATGGACTTGCTGCAGAATGTGGGCCTGCTGTTCCATGTTGGGGCAGGGGACTTGTTGACAGAAGACATGGAAAAGGTCAAGTTATTCACTGCCTTCTTTATCTTAATATTTGTATGACCACACCTCAGTGATTGCAGGCCTCTGTAATCAGAGGGAAATTCTGGAGCAATGTTGACTTGCCCTCAGTGGAGGAGGATCAGGTTAGGGGACATTTAAACAAACTGGTCATGCACAAGTCCTTGTGACTTGATGGAATTCACCCATGAGTATTGAGGGGACTGGTGGATGTCATTGCAGTGCCATCCTTGATTATCATTGAAAGGTCATGGAAACTCGTAGAGATTCCTGAGGTTCCTTCTTTTCTAAGGAAATTAGTATCACTTCTATCTTCAAGAAGGGCAAGAAGGATAATCAGGGGAACGGCAAGGTGTGAAATTCACCTTAGTCCCTGGGAAAGTAATGGAGCAAGTCCTTCTGGAAACTATTTTGAAGCATAGTAAGGACAAGTAGGTTATTGGGGGTGGTGAACATGGGTGAATGGGGAATTCATTTCTGATCAGCCTGATAACTGGCTGTGATGAGATGCCAGAATTGGTGAATGAGGGAAAAGCAGTAATGATATTTGTCTTGAATTCAATAAGTCTTTGGACTCTTTCTCCATTAACATTCTCACAGACAAACTGATGAAGTACAGCTTAGATAGATAAATGGATGATGAGGTGGACTGAAAACTGTCTGAACTGCTGATCTCAAAGAGAGGTGGTGTGAAGTCCAGCCAGAGGCCAGTCAAAAGTGATGTACCCCAGGATTCAATACTGGAGCCAATGCTATTCAGCATTTTCATTAGTGACCTGGATGGTGGGACAGGGTTCACCCTTGGCAAGTCTGTAAATGTTACAAAACTGGGAGTGGCTGATGCACAAGATGATTGTCCTGCCATTCAGAGGGACCTTAACAGGCTGGAGAATTGAGCTGGCAGGAAATGTGAGGTTCTGTATCTGGTAGAGGAATAACTGCAGGGGGCTGACTAGCTGGTGAGCAACTTTATAGAAGAAATCCTGGAGGTCCTGATGGACCAGTTGGGCATGGCAAATGACAGCCTGGGATGCATTAGGCAAAGCATTTCTAGCAGGTGGAGGAGGTTATCATTCCTCTTGACTTAGCACTGCTAAGACACATCGGGAGTGAAATATCCA